AACTTGTTTTTAAGAAAAAATAGCATTTAAAATAAAATTGAAATTCCTTATTTTGTTCGTTATATAATAAAAATAACAATTAATAACTTAAAAATTAATCTGGAAATAACCAATAGTCATACTTTAATTCTGAGTTCATAGTTCAGGTGTAACAAYGTACTGCTCAAATGGATTGGAGACTTCAGGAACATGATTTAGCTCCCATGAACCACCGTAAGTTGTTACCTGGCCAATATTGCATAATCTTTGAAAAAAAAAAATTTTATAATATATCCAAAATTTTATCACATAAATGTGTTTAAAGGACACTTACATGTATCCAATCTTTCTAATTTCTGGGTTAGACCAATAGTCTCCCATTATATCAATTATATGTTGAAGTGGCATCAATACCTTTTTGTTTTTTGAAAAACTTGATATTATTTTGTTAATTCCGACAACAGAGGTTGAGATTGGCAATTTGAGTTTCTCATGGTGTTTTTTTTCAATATGGAGATAAAGCAATCTTTCGCATACATAATCACAAAATGGGCAGAATTTTGGTATCTGAAAATTACAATATCCTATTAGAAGAGCTCACATTAAAGATAAATATAGAATATTTAAATTACTTTGTCTAAAAGGCCCAATTTCAATTTTTCAGAAGTCAACATTAATTTGCATTTTCTTTTAATGACTGAAGTGGTGGGCTGTGATGGCAGTTCTTCTGATATCACCTCAAATTCTGTTGGATTTAAACATAAAAGGAAATTCAGAATTTGATTTATATAAAATATAACTTATTTACCTATGTTGGTTTGCTTAGGTAGCGATAATGGAATAAATTCTTTCATTGGCGTAACTARTGTAAAATAAAAAATTTTAGTTTAAAAATACTATATTATTAAATATTCTACATGTTTATCTTACGGGGAGCTATATCAAAATGCAATTTTTGCCACTCTGAACCCGCAACTGGTGTTGAAGTTGATCTTTGCTTACTCAAATGTGGTAGTGGTGAATTAAAGTTGGACTTCAATGATGAAAATAGTGTAAGATAACTAGGCAATGAAGATGGTACTACTTGTAACAATTAAAAAACATAAGAAAATTTAATTTAATTTTTGTAGTTTGTAATTTTATATATTATATAGGTACCAGCAAAATTTTCAATTTCAGATATGACAGTACCAGCAGTGTTWGGGGGCGGCTCTTTCAAATCCTGAACAGCTATGTCTGAAACAATAGTACATATTTCAAGTTTAAGCATAAAAAACTTAGTTTAATTATTATTCAAAAATAATCTGAAGCCTTTTTTTATTATTTATATTTGGGGTTCTAACACAATGAATCTCTAAATTAGGTAGATATTTAAAATAATAAATGAAGTGTGTAGAGGTGAACTGCAAAGAACATTCAATAAACAATAATGCACAAAAAGCACATGTATGCTCAACTTTTCTTTTCTTT